AAAAAAAGAACAATGAGAATTTTTCAGCAGAACTACATTTGCAATTTAATTGGGATGTAGTTAGTTCTCTAGATCTTTGTAAGTCTCATTTGGATTTCTTCCATATGATCTATTTATGCAAAATTGCCTGTCATTGGTTATATCTTTTTATATGGCAGCTGAATATGATACNTTTATGAAATGGACTTGAAAAACTTTTCTGTATGCTAGCTGCTGTATGGCAAGCTTTTGTGGCACCTTTTAAAATCTCCTCCTGAAAATGAAATGCATCTTTAACCAAATAAACTTCACCTAGAAAATCTATTCTAACAATGCTATAAGTTACAAATTACATAAATGAGCAATTGCAATATCCACCATAGATCATATGGCTTTTCACCTAAAATATCATGAGTGCCCATAATCTCTTTTTTTTTTGTTTTCTCACATATGTTCACTATCTTCACTCAGTCCAATAGTTTTCCATTTGATTGTTATTACTTATTAAGCTTTTGACTAAAAAAATAATCTTTACATAAACACACACATGCACAAACAAACACTCATTAACCTAAAGTAAAACATATCCTACCTTTGGGTCCCAAGCTAGGGCAGAAATTAAAGGAACTTTTTTAACTACAATAACGGATTTGGCATCATCCCCAAACATTGAAGGCTTGGTAGATACCAATGAAGGATCTAAAATGAATATAGAAATAAACAAATACATAAATAAATGAATTAATGAATACAACATAAATAAAGACAAATAATACATAATTACATTGAGCAAGAAAATGTTGAATTTTATCCAAACAATTTTTAATAGAAAGAAAAAAGATTTCTGTTTGATACAGAGTATTATCTTCAGTAAAAATATTGTTTTATTATCGTTTTGAGGGTATTTCTGATAGATCAATAAATCATGTCTGATGAAAAAGTTTTACATACATGCTGTATCAATCAACCTTTGCCCTGTGTCAGAGCTACTTTTAAGGTCATACAATTCTTGATTTTGAAGGAGAAAAAATACTTCTGTATCAAAATGGAAAAGACTGCAAAGTCATCATTTGAAAACTAACCAAGAACTCTGCTCTCCCCAACTGTCGTCTGCCGCTTCTCCTGCCACGACCAATCATGGCAGCACCTAAGAATGTGTTCTGCCCTATACTTGGGATGCTGGGATACATTTGGTTTTAATTCTTTCTTGGAAATTTCAGTCTGAAAGTAATGATTTGTGTTGAATACAATGATTTAAACATAAACCAAAATAATTTGATCTCTTTTTCTCTCTCTCACTCTCCTTTTTTAACTTATTGATTGAGAGATCTTTAATCTCAAGGCTCAGACAGTATTTATAAGATCATTGTGATTAAATCTCTATCCCCACCTTGGTCATTGGCCGGTCTCTGGCAGCCAGTATAAACTGGTGGATTTCATTCACGTATTGCTTCAGTAAAGGCGGGACAGGATTACAGCACGCTATAACACCTTGACTCTCCCTAAAATTAAATACACAAATCTCATCTTTCAAATATGTAAACTAATTGGTTGTTTTTATTCATGTACAGAGGTTTTTATTGTGAAGTCGTAACTTAAAGATTAAATGGTCTGTTAGTTTAAGTATCTAAATATTATGCTATGTTCAGACAGGATTTTTTTTAGATCTGCAATAAATGTAACTGGTATCATAACTATAGATTCTCTAGATTACACTCCCAAAGTAACCTTGTCTGAATGCGGCTGTTACCTGGGTAACACCTCAGCTATCTGCAGCAACATGTGGTTGGGTAACACATAACTGAAAGCAAGGAACAAATATTATTATCATTATTATTATATAACTTAACTAGTATGAGAGCTCATATCGTGTATGAGCTCACTGTATCCAATCTCTCTCTTTCTTTCTCTTTCTCTCTCTCTCTGTCTCTCTCTCTCTCACACACACACACACAGACACACACCAAATTCACTACTCACATCTTATATAAACAAACAAACAACAAAATTGTCCTTTTTCCTTAGAAGGAAAAATCCTTATCCTGTACTCTAATCTTCCAGCTGACAACAACCTACTTCATACGTCCCTCTCTCTCTCTCCCCCCTTACCCCCAACTGTCATTCAAGCCTTACCCTGTGCTCTCGTCTTCCAGTCTGGCTATTCCATCTCTCCAAGCAAACAGGTCTCTGAGAGCTGATAATTGCCGAGAGTTGAAGACCTTTTTACTCTTCCTGTACAACTCTAGGTGGCTGTCCTGGGTAAACATTGGCTTCTGGTAGGTCTAATGGTAAAGTTTAAAGTCCATTTTTAATTTTAAAGTGAAATCATTTTTATTTTGGTGTACTTCGGACCATGTCTTATTTGTGTAAATTCAATTTTAAAAATGAGGTTAAAAATGATTCACATACATTCAGTGGAGTTTTAAAAGACTAAGGGAAAATGATTAACATGTACAGGACATATGTAAGGTAAAATGGTGGACCATTATCAGCCATTTCCTGTCAGTGAAACAACCAATACAAATTATGACTGCAATCTGAATCAAAACTAAAAACTTTAAGTTTATCTTAACTTGGAAATCTAAAATTTTTAGCTCAAGGATGACCCAATACGTATAAAGAAGAAGTAGGCCACAGTTCTGAAATACTGTACATTTTACTAAAAAAAGTTTATGCCTTAGGGCAACAGTTAGTGTTACTTCGTTTTGTGGCCATCCTTAATTTAAGTTGAGAAAGTGAGACGAAACCAAGACCAATTACTAGACATGAATTACTTGTGAAACCATTCCTATTACCTTCTGACAAATATGCTTGCTCCTCTCAATCACAGACAGAAGCAGGTTGTTCAGGTTGTTCCCTCTCTCAATCAGCTCCTTCTTCATGCGTTCATAGATGTATAACAAGTAGTGGGTATCCTCACGGGCGTACTTTATGAGCTCATCTGGGAGAGGTCTGAAAAATGGAGGAATATGGAGTCAAAAATCTTTTTTTTAAATCTGCAGGATTATCTTCTTACTAAACTGCAATGAAATAGAAATACTGAACACAATTACTTTATATGACTTGCTTAGTTTCAATATTATTCCTTTTTCTGTGCAATACATTATGCTGCTGACTTGAGTTCATTTTAAGGTTAGAGTTAAGATGATCCATGCACCCAGGCTGAACCAAGTACCTAACTATAGGCTGCATATAAAACTTAGTACGGTTGGGAACCAAGCTCAGCCAGTAGCTGGACCACTGAGCACCCAATTCGGTTTAGTTCAGCACCTAACAAAGTTGACAGCCTACCACATTCTCCATCCTAGTTGTCAACATGTCCTGTTTGTCTGCCCTTGCTAAACTGCTTTGCTATAGTAGGTAGGTGAAGGAGTGCCTTGCTAAGTTCAGTCCAGAACCTAGCTAGGTTGAGAACCTACCTCATTCTCCAGTCTGCCAGCTGATACTGTTTGTCTGCCTCCACCTGGCAGTACTGCTGTAGTAGGTATGCCAGGGAGTACCTAGCTAGGTTCAGTTTAGAGCCTTGCTAGGTTGAGAACCTACCTCATTCTCCAGTCTGCCAGCTGATACTGTTTATCTGCCTCCACCTGGCAGTACTGCTGTAGTAGGTACGCCAGGGAGTACCTAGCTAGGTTCAACACTCTGGAGGCCTGCCCCGTATCAAACATGTTCACCACGTAAAGACCTAGGTCACGTTGGAGCCATTCTATGTCCATATCAGCTCCGTGGAAAACCTTGGATATCAATGTATAAATATTAATAACCAAGACTCTTGTGGCATGAGAACTATTTGGAAAATTTAAAATATGGGTTATTCTGACTGAAGATAACAACAATTTGTTGTAAAATTGGAAAGGCATTGCTTTAATAATAATATAATAATAATATAATAATAATAATATTTATTTCTTAAAACCGCACTACACTAGCGTCTCAGTGCTGTTTACAGGTAAAATTATTAGGATTACAACTTATTATATATATAATAAAAGCTAAGGTAAAAAAAAAAAAAAAAAATAAAATAATTAAAACTGGTTAAAATAGTAATGGTCTGAACAATAAAACTTTTTTTCTGATAAAATGAGAAGATATTAATTAAAATACTGTGCAAATAAGAATGTTTTTAAATCTTTTTTAAAAACCTCAACACTGTCAATAGTCCGAATGTGTGAGGGTAATTGATTCCATAAAATTGGTGCTGAAATTGAAAATGCCCTGTGGCCGTAGGTTTTGGTTGTTTTTTTATTATCATTTCTGATAAAACAAGGAGTGGAGGTGGATCTGGTAGACCTGGTGAGACTGGGTGTACTTGGATGTAGCATCGAGTTAAAATATGAGGGGCATTCACCTCTAGTGAATTTAAAAACAAACAACAGTAATTTAAAAACAATTCTCTGTCGTACAGGAAGCCAATGTAGTTCGAATAAAATGGGTGAAATGTTTGATCTGAGAGGGATTTTGGTCAGTAGTCGTGCTGCAGCATTTTGGACAGATTGCAATTTTTCAATTTGATAGGTAGGAAGACCATACAGTAGACTGTTTCCGTAGTCAAGATGTGAAGTTATAAAGGCATGGACAAGCCTCTCCATTTGACTTTTATCAAGGATGTGGGATAGTTTGGAAATTTTTTTAAGACCATAGAAAGCGGCTTTGCATTTTTTGCTGATGTCGGCAGCCATATCGCACCTATTATCAAAAATTACTCCAAGGTTTTTAACCTCATCTTTTACCGTGACTGTACTGTTTCCAATTTCTAATAGTTCTAGTTTTTCCGCATCCTTAGAAAAACGAGAAGTAAAGTGAACTACTTCTGTTTTGCCATCATTGAAAACAAGTGAATTGGCATTAAGCCATTGGCTCAACTGAATAATACATTTCTGGATAGATGGTATTACATCTGATGGCCTGTCGCAAACAATATAAATTTGTGAGTCGTCTGCATAGAGCATAAGGTTAAAACCGTACTCAGAGACAATGTCCTCAATTGGTGACGTGTAGAGAGTGAACAGGATGGGGCCGAGTACAGAACCTTGTGGTACACCACAAGTTAGTGGTGTTGACGGTGATTTGTGAGTGCCTATTGAGACTGATTGTTCACGCTCAGTCAGGTATGATTTGAACCATGCCAATGCAATACCATCTATACCGAAACGATTTTTTAGTCTGTTGAACAAAATTTCGTGGTTTATTGTGTCAAAGGCTGCAGACAAATCAAGTAATAATAAGACCACTTGTTTCTGATCATTGAGTGCCAGAAGAATATCATTGTGCACCTTGAGCAGCGCTGTTTCAGTGCTATGATGTGTTCTATATGCCGATTGAACCTTTGCAAAAAATGGATGAGTATGCAGATAGTCAGTTAGCTGTGTCGCTACTAGGCGCTCCAGTACTTTTGAAAGAAATGAGAGGTTTGAGATGGGACGGTAGTTCTGCAGGTCATTAGGGTCTGGATTGCCTGTGGCCTTTTTTATGAGTGGTCTGATTAAAGCTTTCTTGAAACACCCAGGGACTATGCCGCTTTGAAGAGATGTGTTGAAAAGCTTTGTAATGGAAGGTAGTAATTCTTCTATGCATTCCTTTGTGAGGTTAGTTGGAAGGATGTCCAATTCTGATGATTTTGGCTTAGAGGCGTTTATCAGCTTTTTTATTAGTTCGGGAGTAGCGATGGTAAAATCTCTGAAAAAACTCGGAGATGTAGGAGGATCAACTTCTTGTATAATGGAGTTGTTAATTCCGCTTTCAAAGGATTTTCGAAGTTTTTCTATTTTGTTATTAAAAAACTCCAGGAACACAGAACAAAGTTGCTCATCAGAGTACAGTGTTGGTTTAATGGTTGTTGCTGATTTTTTAAAACCGGTTAACTCCTCAACAATCATAAAAAGACTTTTGGTATCCGAGTTGTCTATGCGTTTTTTGTGGTAGTCAGATTTCAGTTGATCAGCACGGCGACAGTACTCTAGGCGTTTTTCTTTGTGAATTTGGCGATGGACTTCCAGACCGGTGTTGCGCCATTTACGCTCACATTTTCTAACTGATTTTCGCATCTCAGACAGTTCACTACAAAACCATGGCGCTGTTGACTTACTGCGTGTTACTCGAGTATTGACTGGAGCAAGTTCGTCGAGAATGGTGGTTATGGTGTTGTGATATGAATGCAGAAGATTGTCCACATCTTCTGAAGTAGTGTTTCCAATTGCATTGGTATCAGGTGGGAAGGAGTTAAAGGCAGATTGAAGTTTTGCTTTAAGAACATCAGAGTCAATTTCTTTCAGGTTTCTACGTGAAGTCGTAGTTTTAACCGCAGGAGGACGAGCCACATTCAGACAGAATTCTATAAGACTATGGTCTGAATTCAAGTAGTCTGTTGAGTCAGTTGAAAAGAGAAGATTATCTGATGCGCGAGTTATCAATAAGTCAAGAGTGTGCCCTTTTTGGTGAGTTGGGAAATTGATGTGCTGTTGAAGATCTCTAGAAAATATAATTTCATTCAGAAGTGAAGCATCACGGGAATGAGAATTATCAACATGAACATTGAAATCCCCGGCGATTATGAGATGGCCTGGTTTTGGGACGACTTTTTCCAATAAGGTTGCAAATTCACCGAAGAAGTCCGAGATCGGGTTGTTTGGAGGACAGTAGATGAGAAGAAATTGTAGTGTTTCACTTTTTGATGTAAAAACAATGTCTAAAGATTCTATTGATTTCATAGAATGTTTTTGTTTTTTAACCATTTTGAGACGAGGATGGGCTAAAATAGCTACCCCTCCACCTCTCTTTCCAGTTCGACATTCATGATGGAAGGAATACCCAGGTAAACTTGATGTAATCTCTGAGATGATTGGGTCTCTGTTGGATTTGATCCAAGTTTCTGTCAGGAGAAAGATGTCCAAGTTTTCTTCGTAGATGTGGGATGACAAGCTGGCTATTTTTCCCGAAAGGGATCTAGCGTTCCATAGAGCACATTTTAGCTTCAGCTTTTCGGAGAGAGACGATGTCCTTTTAATGTGTATCAAATTTGTAGAATTAGATCCAGTTTGTTTTGTCAGTTGAAAGAGTGGCTTTGACTTAACAGTTGTTATGGTTCTTCTGTGGTTCACTCCACCACGTGATCCCCTTACTTGTCTGATGATGTTTAGTTTCTTAATTATGGTCCAAGTGTTAGCTGACAGACAGTACTTCCCTCTGGCATTTATGTCAATTAGGAAGTTCCTAGTGTGGGCCCATGCATTGTGAGCTGTACCTGTGAATGCCCCAAGGCTCATTTTCTTGGGTGAACAGAATTCTACTTGGTAAAATACAAACACAAACAGCCCGGGCAGCTCAGTCAGTGGCGCCCCCTACATTGATAAGTAAGTTATTTCTGTTTTGTAAATTAAATCTATCCTTACCAGGTGACAATTCAGAAAAACGAAGTCAAGAAAATTCTCATAAATATTCCTGGGGAGGATGGTCGCATGCGGGGAACTGGCTATCAGCCACAGCGCTGTTACGTCGTGGAATCCGACACAGACATCGCGGTGGTGGCGGCAAATCGTGTCAAAGAGTACACGGATTCTTACCTGGCACTCCCGGTGGATGTTCTTGGCACTGAGTACATCATCCCTTCCTGGCCCAAGACACAATCTTATGATGATTCCTTCATAGGTAACGTTTTTTAATGCAGTGATGAATAATTATGAAGGTTATATTTAAGGATTTTGCGACAACAAAATATGTTCTCTTTATTTCTTAGCAATGAAATGTAATTAATACAATACAACGCCATGTGAAAAGTGAAATATATTGGTATATTAATCAATCTGTTTTTTGACATTTCGAATTCAGAACTTACCATGTTTGTATATAACACACAATTTTGTATTGCAGCACTGTCCTGTTCGTCATGGGAAAGAGAATTCGATTCTAATACGACAGTAACTTTCTCATTTCCCGAAAGAACGAACGATCCTATTGTAGTGGAATACAACAATGAGACATATGGACACCACCGCAATTTGACGATGTCATTAAACTCCTTCGATTTTGCTATTAATGACTGGAACAGCCAAACCGTGCAGATACTCAGCAAACAGGACCTGACAGGAACTAAAATCACATCTAACAAGCCTATCGCTGTAGTGTCCGGAAACACGGGGACCAAGATTGGAGCTTTGCCCACCTTTACGGGAGAAAATGGAGTACTGTACGAGGAATCCTACGATCACCTGGAAGAAATGATTCCACCTCTACGTGCATGGGGAAAAAACTATGTCACCGTGCCTGTAGCGGACAGGAAAAAAGGGGACATTTTCAGAATTATTGGTATATAAATAGTTTTTTCAATTACTTAGACTGCCGACTCTTACTGATATGGCAAAATCCTTAAACTGCTGTTATAGTTGTTTCACTGAGTGTGACTTAGTGTGTGGTGTCATTTATCGTTAGCCTTAAACTGACTACATTTCCAAATTTCATCGGATTAAATTTGGTTTTTGCAAAGGAAAATATCGTAATATTGAAGCACGTTTTATATACTTGGAAATCTTCCAAAGAATTGCCTAACTGTGCTACAATAGAAATAAGAATAGATAAGCAATAAAAAGCGTAACATAATTTATTTAACATTCAAGGTATGGACCAGCAATACATTTACTAAAAACTTATTCAAATGATTTCCCTCAATTTTTGCCTTATCATTTCAGCAAGCAAAGATACCACCAATGTGGGCGTGTCATTTTATAGAGGTGCTTCTCTGAGGCAAAAGAGAGACATTTCAACAACCACCGCAAACCTCATTGAAAAGAGGAACAACCTGATTAATAATATGGGAGATTTCTTGCAGTTAGATATCCCTTCTAACGAATATCTTGTCATCCAGGCCGACGAACCCATACTTCTGGTACAGTACTCCAAATCAGGTAATTGTTTTTTCAAGGGCAAAAGATAAGTGTTTGTCAATAAAGATAAGAAAGACCAATATAATAACATATCAGTACTCTGTTATTAGTGAGATGTTGTAGATTAAATACTTTCGATGCAGGCTTGTTGTTTAGATTGGAGACCAAAGCATGGAATCTTTGTAGTGACAGTGGCTTAAGTGGGATTATTTATATAAGGCGCCACACTGTTTACAGGCTGTTTTCATTAAACTCAACGGAAAAAATCATCGTTAAAGAACACTAATTTATCGAAAAAAGAAACGAGAATCTTCATGGGTGCTCCTTGTTAACAATATCATTTCTTTCTTTCCAGCTAATATAGATCGGTCTGAAAGCGACCCCTTCATGCTTGTCATGCCGCCTGTGGAACAATATGACAACGAGTATACATTCGCCACAGTGGCAGGAATAACAAACCCGTATACAAATTATGTAGCAGTTATCATCAAGACAGTTGACAAAAATGGTCTATACATTGACGGTCAGCCTTTCTACAATGGTTCCAGCGACACACCTTGGGTAGATCTAGAAAATACAGGATTTTCTGTCAAAACGAAGGTGATCGGGCATGGCTCTCACAATCTGTTTCACGTCGATTCCAGTAAGACATTCGCGGCGATGTCATATGGTCAGACCAAATACGAATCGTATGGGCATCCAGCCGGAATGCGAGTGGCATCTTTGTATGACTATTGTCAAGCGAAACCTGGCACGGCGGGAGACAAGCTTGATAATGACTGTGATGGACGTATTGACGAAGAACTCAAAAATGGCCTCGACGACGACGTAGACGGTTCCATTGACGAAGATCTGGCTGGAGTCGTTCTGTTCACTGCGGCACCGCAGTCAAGCACTACATCTTCTACTAGTACTGAGTACACGTCTGATGTTTCGGAGGTATATACACCCGCACCAACTAAAACCAAGGATTTTTTGGATAATTTAGGTGAAGGAATGGGAGGGTTCGCACCCGGGCTCGTACTGATATTTGGAATTGCACTGTTAGTGACGCTCAGCTGCTGTGTGTTCTTCGCCTTTTTGCTGTATAAGAAAAACAGAAAAGAGGAAAACGCAAACACCGACCCCGCCCTACCATTGGAGCCAATCCAGCGAAGCAAGTCTGTCCGTTTCAGTACTGACACCTTGTCGCCGTCATCGGGGTCAGGAAAGCGTTTTGAGAACCAGAGAATGAGCGTCTACTCTGTCATATCGGACGATTTCAACTACAGAAATGATGAGGACGAGGGAATCGGAGACAGTGAGAGAAGTGCTACACCTGACGATACGGGCTCCATGGCGAGCACGGAAACGCCCAGAATCGCTTCAGCAGGCGGTGTAGAACCAACCATTGGAGATCTAAATCAGACAGATACTGCAAGGGACGCTTGGTCGCTTTCGTCAAGCCAAGGCAGAGACAGCCCTGGGAACGACTCCCAAAATACGTTTCTTCCTCGAGGCAAACGGAATAAACGCAATCATGTCGTACCAGTTTGGGCATCAGACTTTTGAGAATAAGCTAGAGCATCCTCGGCTGGGTACGCATAGACAAGCGCTTTGGTATAAAGTGCAGAGTTTATCAGAAGGAGAGACAAATGTGATTTTTGAAGTTGCTTCTATATTGTTACACATAACAAGCCGCTTTACCATCTTGAATGTTGCAGATAAGAAACGAATGCAGTGACAATTTTATGACGTGGCATACAAATTGCGTACATGCAGTTTCAATGTTGTTGGATACTATTTACAAATATCGAGAACGCGACCCGTATTCCCGGTATTCCTTTCGAATTATGTGGTGAACTATCGGTCATTTACTTAAAATGGCACACTGCGTATCTGGTAGCCCCTTTCCTTGCCTTTCTCTTTTATGCATTAATATGTATATATAGGCCCCACATTATGTACTGTTTTTCAGTTTTGGATTTCAGCATCGCTTTGAACGACTAAAGAGGCTTTTCCTCTGTTCTGTCTTTTAAATACACTTATAGTAACTGGAACAAACTTTTAATTCATCGAATCATTTTCCTTAATATTGCTATAGGCCTATGCATTGATTCTTGCATAAATGTACAAAAAGTTGCATATTATGATCGTTTGTTTTGATATTTATTACTTGAATGTTGCCTTCTCCTGCATAATCAGACGGTGTAAGGGATTGATTTTATTCTATTGCTTATAGGTCCTTATAGGTTGGAGGGGTTAGTTTTATTTGTGTAAGTAGGCTATACAGTAGCATTAACCAAGCGTGTTTTATCACTCACATACGACGGTATTGTTGTATAATCGCCCTATGTTACGTGATGTTTAGTGCAATGTTTCAATAGGTGCTTAGTCTACTCATTTGTCACAACAGGACAGAATAGTTGAAAATCATATTCCAATATAAGATAATGCTACTGCTTGGTGCCGTAGTGGTGCGGTTTCTATGCCACTGTCAAAGTAGGCCTACTGGTAAAATAAACACACAACTTTTAGGTAAATCTAACCCGCATAACCAACTCCCACAATGAAAATACAACATTATACTAAATTTTGTCTTTTGTTTTAGAATCTATGTTCGCTCTCAATTCCTCGTTGTACAGTAGCCTATTTAGGCCTACTTTAATGGGACAGTAAGTAAGATTCAAGTAGGAAAATCTTAAGAAATTTGTAATGCCCTTGTTAAAATAAAAACGTCTGTCAAATTACATAGCTATAGGTGACTAACAGGTTTGAAAAATAGTTGATAGCTTGTTCAGCAAATATTTATTTTAAAAAATTTTAAATAACATGAATCAATCATGAGAAACAAACGCAATGGAGTAATTAAAAAATAAGGGTGGGGGCATGACAATGGTTTTATTGTTTAACTCCCCCAATAGCCTTTGCAGTTGTGTTAATCACTGCTTCCACATTGAAAATATTATCATCAAAATTATAGCTTTCTCAGAGCAAAATTTTCAAAATTTAGTACCTCTCTCAGATTTGTAATTTGGAATTCAAATGACAATTTTGGTGTTTGGCATTTTGGCATCTATTAAAATACATGGATACACAGAAAATACATATGAGTATCTGAGTCAAAGGGCCTACCGATTGAAGCAACTTAGCGCATATTGAAACAAAATGCAGTAGTTGAGAAGGTGTCCTTGACCTATTTCAGCGCTTCTTGCAGGGTCATTATTTAAACTGATAATGTTTCGTTTCGGTAAATACTGCGTGTTTGGTGGTACAAGGGTGATACAGGCAAGTTTGACAGTTTTCGTAATCGGTATAGGTTACTTGATTCATTTATGAGAGGCCTCTTTTCGTGTGATGTTGGTAGAGGGCGATGACTTTGAAGAAAGTGCTCACTCAAAATCCTGTAAAAACACAACACCTTGCGCTACTAGTATCTGCATGTTTTTCTCAGTTTGCGAGGTACTTAGCGTTGCTAGTACGGTTAAAAATTGGACCAACCTGTCTATAGGTCTGCGCTCTTCTCAGGAAAGTTTCTCTCCTCAACATTTAAATTTTCAAGTTTTAACTGCATTGTGTGGGCTGCTGGCACTGCTAGTACTTGCTTTTAAATTTGTTGGGCTAGCATTTTGCTCAAGGAGTTCAATAACAGATCATATGCACCTTGAATAAAGAATTCCAATGTAATTTTTTTTTCTTTCAATTTAGATTAACAAACTGGGACTCACAAGCAAATTTTATTCCTCACTATCTACCTCTGAAATGGAAAAGATCAAGATATCGGATCACCTGATATTGAGGCAAACGATAGATCAGACTAAAAACCAAAGCGGAGGTAAAGCTAGGCCTCTGGTATTGTTTTTTCCATGGATGAATGCCAAAGCAGCTGCAGTGCAGAAATATTGTGATATTTATCATGAAAGGGGCATGGATGTTTTGATTGTCTCAAGTTCTGCTAAGCATTTCTTATGGCCTGAGAGTGCTGGGCCTCTGGCTGCGGAGGTTTTAGACTACACAAAGAAACATCACATTCACCGCCCTCTCCTTATTCATGGATTGTCAATAGGAGCATACTTCTTCACAGTTTGCCTCATGCAGATGATAATGAATCCACAGAAATACAAACAGTTAGAGCAACAAATCTGTGGCCAAATCTATGATAGTCTCACTGTTGGCAGCGTGCAGAGGATGGCACTTGGAATTGCCAAATCAATCACCAATAACCAAACCTTGAGTTCCTCAATCAAGGGCTCCATTTTGACCTATTTTGCCCTAACCCATAGCCATACTGTGGCACAGTATGACAAATTGATAGCCTTGTTTAAGGAGAAGCCACATAGGTCTCCAGCCTTACTATTTTACTCCCTAGATGATCCAATGTGTGATCCAGATTCGATGGCAGATATTATTGATACATGGAACAAACTGGGCATGTCAGTTACCCACAAATGTTGGGAAAGATCTAAGCATGCTGGACACTTGAAGCAGCACACTGCAGACTATATTCAAACCTTGGACACATTTCTCAGACAATTAACTTTTGATATTAATCCAAAGTCTAAACTCTGACCATGTCATACATTTTGTTCTTGTATTCAGTGTCACTTGTATAGGAGTGGCAGAGTCGGCATCATTACTCATACAACCCTGGTCGTTTCAGCTGGATGATAGTTTTTGGACCTCAGCACCGAATCCATTTTAATACGTTATCTAATAATCTAAACTTTGTGCTGTCGTTGTCATCGTTCATGACATAAATACGCTCCTACTTAATACCAACCCTCCCTAGGCAGAATTGCAATAAACCACCTGTTGTTTCAGTAACTATGTAAATAAATCAATTGCAAATATTTTGAATAAATTAACTACTAACGACAGGATTGTATCATGCAAAATTTATTGACAGCTGATTAATTTTTACTTAGTTTCATTTTATCTTCAATAACAGGTGTCTGTCAAATAAAATTAATCCGTAAACGGCAATTCATGGTTTACGCTGGCACCCTAGCAAGCACGAAATGTCCTTTGGCTATGATCTAAGACACCGTCAATTACAGAAGAGGGGTGTAATAATTAGTTCCCTTTGAAATAAATATGACAGACGCAAACAAAACCATTTACACAGAAGACAACATCTAATTCACAAGTTTTTTTTTTCGTTTTTGAAAATGTCTCAAATTACATCATGTTTTTTAAATCCACACAAAAATGCACGTCTCAGAGCACACCAAAGTGTTCGTCCTCTGTGCAAAATAAATGTTACATATTCTCTTCACGTTTTTTAAGCTGGATGCTATTATTAAATTGAATGAATCAGATATGTGACCACCATCAAGTTCTAAGGCATGTGCTGGATCTTCTTTCTGATTGAATGATGGCTGTTCTACTTTAAAGGAAGTGGGAATTGTCATAAGCAATCTATGTTATACCAGTTTCCTGGAATTCTACTTAAGAATGGCAATTTTCACTTTCTTGCACAAAACGATTTGCATGTCTTTTCCCAGCTCCTTGCAATTAAAATTCATCTTTGCTTTCCACTTTGGTTTCAGCAAAATTCTTGAAACGCTCGATGACATGTTCTAATGAGTGTTCTCCATGCACCTGGTTGTCTCTGGTACGGACATTGACAGTGTTGTTCAGCTGTTCCTTCTCTCCAACAACTGAAACCAGTAAAGAATGATTTAACTTCACAAACACATATTACAAATGTCACTGGAAAACTAAAAGCAAATTTATCAAATTTTATCTTTGGTGAGTTTCCCTGATATATTCACTTCAGGAAAACCTACATTATAAATTGCAGTATCTCATAAAGGTTACCGTTTGTTGACACAAAGGTAGACAGTCAAAATAAAGTCATTTTAAATTTTACTAGTAATATTTAATTTTTGTGGTTAGTTAAGTTCTTTTGAGATCAAATGGATCTAGCATTTCTTTGGCACAATCATAGATGAATCCAGTATACAACTGAGTAACGACCTGGTATCAAATATTTTCTGCAGTTCTTTATTTGTCAAGTAAAGATTGTTTATACTACAGACACAATGTCATTCCTAGTGCCCTTTAATAAATTATAAATACTGACCAAAGATAAAGTTGTACTGTGCAAGTTGTGCATTCCTGATCTTCTTATTCATGGTGGTGCCAGGATCCAAGTCTAAGTCACAATTAAATCCACTGTCATGGATCTCTTTTTTAACCTGCAAAGAAATTTTAAAAGGAGTCAACATAAATGACACATTTTTAAAGATAAACTAAAGGAGGGCTCAAGCAATAGAGAACATATTTAAATTCCATATATAAATTGCCTTTAAAGATTTTTATAATAGCCACTGCTTTATCCTGCTGTCATAGGATTAGAATTAAGGATGAAGATAGGGCAATACCACTTTTAATACACGACTTGGAAAATTACCTTCTTTGCATAGTCATCAAATGGTGATGCTACTGGAATCACAATAGACTGTCTTGGAGACAACCAGAATGGCCATTTTCCACCATAATTTTCACACAAAATGGCAATCATCCTTTCCACAGAACCTAGGATAGCACGGTGAATGATCACAGGTCGTTTCTTCTCTCCATCTGCTGCTTCGCTGTTGATATGAAAAAGAATTTTAAACATGTTTATATTTAGTTTCCGACTTTCAACTGGATATTCTTTATTCAAGGTTTTAAACTCTCCTTAGTTTTAATGTAAACAGCACTGAAACACACATAGTGTATTTTAAAGAAATAAATACTAAGATAAAACTCTTTTCAATTTGCAATTTACAATATACAATCTTATACATTTCCATTTATATTATGTGTAAAAACTGTGCTTAGAAAATATATAACTAACGCATTTAAACCAATTTTGACATCCCATATAAAAGGGTAAGTATGATACAATTGAAATGAATATTAGCAAAATCATATTTCTCTGGTCAGTGGTATCCACAATAGCAAATTTTCCACTGCTTACCTAACGTAAGTCAAGTTAAACCTCTCTGGTAGCTGAAAGTCCAACTGTATGGTGGCACATTGGTGGGATCTTTTTAGGGCATCCATGATAGTGATATCAATCTAAGATGGAATTAAAACAAGTTTCATGATGTTTAGTCCCAATTCATTTAGTGGTTTAGCGCACAATTTTGTACTTTTTCAAGGGAAAAAAGATTTTGTAAAAAAAACTCAAACAAGCCAAAAAGATACTACTTATTCAAATCTGTATGATATTTTAAAAATGTATCATTGATAATGTAACTGGGTTTCCATAAATGACATTACTTGAGAAAAAAACTTTACCTTTGGTCCATAGAATGCACCATCCCCTGGGTTCAGTTTCCATGGGATGCCACACCTGTCCAAGCTGTCTGCAAGTTGCTAAAAATAAAAATTTAAGTCATTATTTTGAAAACAAAAAATTAATACAATGACCAATTACAAAAGCACTAAATCAAAGCGAGAAAAATGGTACATCTTAATTACTCACTCTACACTTCTTTTGCTGACTGTGATGATTTTTACTTATTATATGGATTACAGAAACAATTTAAATGTTATCCAGAACAGCATCTTACCTTCTCAGCTTTATCCCACACCTCGATTTCTCCAAGGTACTTGTCAGGTCTGGTGGAGAGATATAGTTTGAAGCTAAACCCGAACTTGCCATATACAAACTGCAAGAAGTCTAAGCAACCACCAATTTCTTCCTCGAGCTGAAGAATAATACATCATAATCAAAACCATACAGAGACATGAATGACACGTATTCAACAAGCCTGTTATCATTTCTACAATTCAAGATCACATGTGCAGAAATACAACACTGAACCAAACAAAGAAATGTGCAGAAATAAAAGACTGAAAGCTGCATATATAAATTATAAATAATCAGCAGAATAAATATATGGCTCATAATAATAAAATACTTTTCAAACTAATAAACTCCTAACACATACCTGATCAAACCTGCAGAAGATATGGGCATCATCTTGCTGGAACCTTCGGACTCTGGTCAGTCCAGAGAGAGCACCTGACAACTCATTCCTGTGCAGCACACCAAAGTCAGCTAACCTCACTGGAAGCTCTCTCCATGATCTGGGTCGGTGATCAAACATAAGACTGTGGACAGAGAAAGCAGGAGAAAGCCATTATAATTCAACTTAACAAAACTACTTTGAACAGCTGTATTTAAATTCATTGTTTTTATGTATATTATTTTTCCTTTTTTAAATGAATTTTGAAACTCGAAAATTGAACTGTAAAAGGTATTTACTGTAGTTTATGACAAAAAAAAAAAAAAAAAAAAAAAAAAAACTTACTGATCACCCTAATCTGTACATTGTCAGAAAATGTTATCAGTCTTTCTGCTAAATTCTTTCAATTTTGACCGATTTCACTTCATTAAACTCACCAGTGTCCTGGACAGTTCATAGGTTTCAGACCATACTGTTCCTTCTCCACATCAAACTTAAACATGTTGTCAGAATAGTGCTGCCAGTGGCCAGAGGTCTCCCAGAGACGACTGCTGTAGATATTGGGGCTCACCACCTCAGTAAAACCACGCTTCCTGTATTCAGTCTGAAAGGATTACAAAAATACTGTATAGATATGTCCAAGAAAGAAGTTGATACTTATCCACAATATCTGCCTTTAACTCTGTTTGAATGTCTTTAAATTATTATCAGTGCAGGGCAATTAATCAATTTCTGAATCTTAAAGACAAATTTATTGAATTTTCAAGGGTAGAAGCTTACTGACTGATTTTTACCTTTTTCACCCCTTTTGAGAATTCTTGATTTTAATTGTCATGTATAAAGGTGTTTTTGAATAATTAAAACCCAAGCATCCCATCTCACCTTGATAAAATCTACAAGTGTGTTATAGATGTGAGCGCCACGCGGTAGGAAGAATGCACTTCCAGGACTCATTTCATGGAAAAAGAACAATTCTTGTTCCTAGAAAATAATGTTATTTCCAATGAGATTGAATGCATCCAAACCGTTTTTATACAAAACAAGTGAACATCAATTTCATAAGGTTATATTTTACACACACAAAACATCGCAAATTTGACAGCTTGCATGACTTTCCCCATATATTTTGCAGGGCTGCAAGGTGACAAACGCAAATGTCAAACTGCAACATTTTAAAGTTTCTCTTCAAACATTCATCCGTTGAGAATGAATCTTATATTTTCATGTTTTTTCATAAAATGTGAATAAATAAACAAAGCAAACAATTCATTACAGAATTCCAAAGCAAATTTAAAAGTCTACTTACTCTCCCAATCTTCCTGTGGTCCCTCTTAGCTGCCTCCTCCTGAAACTGTTTCCATTCCTTTAGTTGTTTGGTATCAGGAAAAGAAATTCCGTAGAGACGCTGGAGACTTTCTGCCTCAGAGTTACCCTCCCAGTAAGTCGCAGAACTTTTGGTTATGGCAAAGGCTTTAACCTTGCCAGTGTGCCTGACGTGAGGCCCTCGACACAGGTCAATTAAGGGACCACATCTGCAATAAGACACCAAATCAAAATTTAACCTACTATTTTGAAGGTTTTTAACAATGACATAACCTACTGTAATAAGTTCAGTTTGTGGATCGATATTTACTAAATATATATCAAAATATTATTCTAAAGATTAAATAAAAACCAATAACAATTCTGAGAGAAAGGTAAAGCTGTGGAGCCCACCTGTATACAGTGGTGGTGGGGGTGGTCACTTTCTCATTGATGATCCTCTGCTTGAATTCATTGTACTGAAAGGGAGAAATGTAAATTTACAACTGCACTTTTTCCCTCCATTACTTTATTCTTATGAACTGAAATAATTTCAGATAAACTTTCAGGAATATTATTGTTCTTATCTTACCTGAAAACTTGACTTTAATAGTGTTTCCACAATTTGAATTTGATGACAAAAAATCATTTTGTGGGTATAAAAGTGAAGAAAATACCTTAAACATTTCCAGAAGATCTTCCTTCTTCATTTCTAGCCTTTCAAATGGCTGTTTGTCTTTCTGAATAGACTTCACAATCTGCTCCAGTGCTGGATAGTCTTTTTCTGACACAACCCTTCCAAAACGAAACATTTCATTCTTTTTGAGGCAAATGCAATTTCATGATTTCAAAAAAATAATACAATGACTAAGCGGATCATCTGTTGAAATCAAATTAAAGCCCAAATCTCTTTTATGAAAGATCATGTTGTATTTGCCAGGGAAGTTAAATGAACCTTTCTTTCATTTCACTTGCATGGCTTTTAGCTTTTAGTTCATCAACATGAAGTGTTCTGTGACTGGACTTTTTGAAAATTTCTAAAGATGAAGTTGACACCCAGTTGACATACCTTTACACTTTTTCTGGTAACACAGATGTGATGCCAATATGCATTAAAATAACAGCACAAGTACAAAGAAACACAAAGGCAATTGCAATATGTACTTTGCCATGAACTTACCTGTCAGGTGCCCACATATCGTAATAAAAGCCATTCTCAATGGGTGGGCCATAGCATAGATGCCCTCCATAGTGTCTCTCCATAGCCTCCCCCATCATGTGAGCACTGGAGTGCCAGAACACATATTGACCTGAAAAAGAAATTNGAGTGGCTATTTTCTTTCGCCCCCTTTTGTCGCTCTCCTGTTCAGACTTGACGCGCGTCTGAGCCATGTTTGCTGTTTTGGCGCCAAATAGTAACATCCGGGTCTCAGCCGTAGTACTTCATTCATAGTAAACCGCGAGACTTAGCGAGAAATTGCGCGTTCTGAAGCCGTACTGTGAGGTGGTAGCTGAGTATTTAAGACGAGTCGTCTTTTATTATTTAATGGAACTTAAAAACGGTATTAGGTAGCTTCATTTTCTGAACGGTTTTGGATAGGATATACCTTGGTCATTATGGGGAAATTGGTGAGTTTTCCAAGAAAATTCATTTTCATGCTATTTTAAGGGTTTAACGCGCTGAGACTGTCTTTAATGTATTTTGCCTGGTTACTGTTATTTAAGTTTCAGCAACAGTTTCTCAATCTTGTAATATTTTTATAAACAAACAGAAATGGCCAAACTGATCAGCATTTAGTCCCATAACTCCCGAGTTGTGTGGCCTTGTGTTACTTGATAAATTTAATCATCCAGTGAAATACCCATGAATGTAAAATAATTCTTCTTCACTTAAGAAATACTTGGATATTATCTTGAGCAGCATTATGACCAGTCATCAGTGCTTACCTTCTTCATCATCAAATTTTATGACCTCTAGCTGAGCATCTTTCTCCAATGGTCTGTCCAAGTCCCACAGTTCACCATTGACTTTGGAAATGACAGCATTGTCGGCAAGGCCTTGGCTAGAAACAATGCAAAAACAAAATAAATACTTGACCGAAGTGGTTTATATATAAGAGAGTGGTATATATATTTAAAAGATGTCATTGGCTAAAACTGAATCTGCAACAGTAACATAGCATACAAAAAAGTAATACTCCACTAAGTGTACATACCTTATTCCCCTGGCTACTTCATATGGAGTTGTGCGCCATGACTGCCCATCTACAACTTTACCATCTGGCAGAGTCACTTTGATAGGTTGTGGCTCTTGTGCAGAAACCCATGAATCATACTCTGACTTTAACTTGTCCCATAACTTCTGGCGATGCTCTATGAAATCTGGGCGTGGGTCAAGCTGAAAATATCCATTTCAATTCATGACACTTTTAGAAACATTATCACCTGGCAGCCTTTACATCACAGCACTTTGAACTCAAACTTAATTTAGAAACATCACTGTAATCTTTAAATAGGCATATGAACATATGCTGACCAAAATGCATTTAGAAATATCTGACTGACACATAAAAGATCGTTAGCTACCTCTATCGGTTGATCTCCAGCACCCTTCTGCTTGGCTTTTTTGCCCTCATTTTGCTGTTTTGCTTGTGTCTGAAATAAATGGATACCGAACCCTGTTAACACAAAATTGTGTATATAGGAACACACAGCTATTGTATAAGTAACAACCAAAAAAGAAACTGCCTCTTTCATTTTATACAATGTTAATATTTAAGTTACCTTGTTAGACCATACATCTGTCTGCACTGAAGTCTTTTTATACGTAAACATGTAAAATTTACATTGATTTTAATCCCCAAGTAAAACAGTCCCAATCCTACCTTTTTACAAGAATGTGTAGTACTACCCTTTTATGAATCAAAATACAGATAAAATGACCATTCCAATAACTAAAGGGATTATGACCAATCAATTAAAGTCTACAAAAAAGTGACTGAAAGCAAACAAGTGCATACATCAGCCATGGTTTTTGCTGCTCACTTCCTCCAAGCCACCAAAAGCAAATTTATGTCTAAAATCCAACTACTTTCAGATAACTATGGTCCTTAGGTTTCCACTGCTGCCGCGGCTTCTCTCAGTAAAACCAGTGACAATTTTTCACAACTTCCTTGTTAAATACTATATCAAATATACCCTGTCAGATTCATGAATTTCATCAGCCACTGACCGAGATGAGTAATGCACAAGGCAGTTCCTTATCTTAAATGGGAGGTGAGAACACCAAAACTAATTACGGCTGTAGTTAGGTTGTATCAATTCTTAGACTTGTTGGGGTCAAGCATCCAGATTTTGACTCCGTCTACAGTGGATGATGCAATGTTTTCCTATTCAAATACATTATCCCACTAAGCAGCGACAAGACCGGTTGCCATGCTAGTGATGTTAAAAACACCATCAATCAAGAAATTGGTAAATATTTGGCGACAGAAAACGCGTATTATAAAAACGCCTATTATGAAGTAAACTGATATATATTCATGCCATGAGTCAACTAATCAATGAGCAATTTTAATGACGGCCGATGGCGATGTGGAAGGAATAGTTCACCAACCCCGTTCATGTTTTTGAAGAAGCTGTATCCTATTCTCTTGGTTATTCGTAACAAATTGGTCTTGGCTAGCATATCTAACTTTCAAAAGTATCATAAGATCATGCCTTTTTCTTTCCCTGTACACTCATTTGTTGAACGTCGGCTGCCACCTGGTCGGCCACGTTGTCCGCCATGTTATTTTCCGGTGTACAGTTGCGCTTGCGTGAATCTCAACTACCGCAATATTAGGTTGAGAGGCACCGTTCCAATAAATACATATTTATTTTAGCGAATCTCACTGTAAATTTTCTTTTACTATCTAAAAGCTTTGTTCTTTCCCAAAGATATTTAGATCTATGCGTTAGCGACGCGTTAATCCAATACATGCACGGTGCGAGTTATTAGTTCGAATGACCATCATTCCACCACCATAATAATAATAGGCCTAATAATAATAATAATAATAATTATTATTATTATTATTATTATTATTATTATTATTATTATTATGGTGATGGAATGATGGTCATATTATTAATTTTTGTGAAATAAAATGCTCTCAGATAAGAAAGTGTATTTTGGCTACGTTTAGGGTCTATGTTTCAACTTTGAATGTCTTCTATTTAAAAGTACCAGTAGGCCTACCTGTTCGCAGGCCAAAAACATTGGGCTGTTGTAGAGAGTGAATAGATAGGTCCTGTTTCCTACAAGAATGTTTTATTTTAACATACGCTTTTGTGTTTGAGTAAGAATGTTTCGAAGTGATTCTTTAACATGGAAATTTAGGCACGAGACACCAACACTGATATGATTAAGTTGAAGGACCCTAACCTTTGAGCTACAGCTCTCCACATGTCAGTGCGCTTATCATAATAACCCAGTGCCACCGATACAAATACAATGTATACCTCGCGTAGAGTACACATATTTTGCTCACATTACATAGTCTGTCACCATGCCATCCCTAGGATATACGCACAGTTATTTTTTCAGCTTTCCACGACAATTGGCGGCTAGGACGGAAGACCACAAAAAATTAGGGCGAGTGTTCTTCGATTTTAGGCCTATTAATATTAGTTTGACATAAGACCTAATCAAATGATCTTTATTTGTTGTAATAATGAATTGTATTGATATTGCTTGGTGAAGTGAATTACGTTTGTTTCATTATTTGTTAAGTCAATGTAGGCCACAAAGTGGTAAATGTCAAATAATTTCAATTTACTAATCTACGGAATAATCTGTGGGTCTCCGTAACCTTGACTCGGTTTCGCTATGTAAACTGTTATGACAGTTTGAAATCATCACGTTATCTTATAGGCCAACTGTAGACTATCTGTTGGCTTTAACTTATTTCAAATTAGTAAGAGTATAAGTTAACCTGTAATCACGATACGTCCTAATCACTATATTGCATAATTAGTAAAAAATAAAAGCTGGGCCTTAGCCCCAATTTTATTCTAAACTTAGTCCAAGTCCTAAATAATTAAGTTACTGCTTTGCGGTTTTGTCATTTGCTGTATATTAGTGAATGTATTTTATTCCATAAACTTCCATCCAGCATTTTATTTTACCTGGTATCTTATTGTTTATTATCTTCTTTCTTCAGGAATGTCATAGCCCATGCCATAGCCAATCCGATTTTAGTCTGGGGATTCGTATCTCTGCTGGCGCATTTCATTCCCAAAGATATAGTTGTGGCATTAGTGATCGCTAAAATGTTATTTTGTCTGGCGCAAGATATCAAATGTGGGGTGAGAAGATGAGAGCCATTTTTTTCTGTTATTCATTTTTCAGAATGATAATTGTTTGACAGGTTTTAAAGTAAAGATTGAACACAAGAGAATAATCCGAGAAATGAATTCATAGGCATATGCATTCGTATTCTGGTGACTGAAGACTTTACTCCAGACTTGAAAAATATTCTTTTTTTTTCAGTTCATCTACAGTGTAATATGGGGCTTGACAGTATATCACCAACTGTACATATTAACTCCTGTTCCTTTACTTGCTATAATAGCAGTTATAGGGGTGGGAGTCGTTATCAGCATCGGTGTAGGGCACTGGATAATAGAACAGGAGTTGCCCCATGGTAATTCATTATTCACCATCATTTAGCCTTTGCCTTTTATCTAATTCAGTTTTCCTTAAGTCAATAAAAAGTCGGCTATATCATTTTTTGATTTAAATTTTGCTGATTTTAGTAATAAAGAATCATGTGTAGAATTAGGATTCAAGACTGAAATCAATGGACCAAAACGATTATTTCATAGGTGCTAATATGCTGAAATTCTGAAAAGTCACCCACACACACACATGAATCCAGGGTTAAAGTGATAATTCATAGCAATAAAACTAGCATATCTGTTATCCTCGTGTAAACTTTTTTCCTTGGAAACCAGTGCCAACTAACTTAATATTTGCATTCATTTCAGAGAGAAATCACCCAGCTGTTAAAAGTGACAGACTCCTGTTCAAATTCTGTGGCTTTTTGAACGAAGTGTTTTTGGCTTCTTTCCACTTTCCAGTATTGTTACTGTTACGATGTGGTCTTATGTCAAAACTGCGACAAAAAGTCAACAAAGAATGCTTTAAGACGCAATACAGATATAAACAAATAAAGCAAATGGAAATGAAATAAAGCCATATGTATTAAACTGTCATAATGACTTGCGTTTAAAGTTAACATTATATTACATCAAATCAGATACTACTATACTACATGTATACGCCAGCCGATACGTGCGTCTTGTTGAGGGTTCTTTGCATGCTAATATATTACTCAACTAAATTGAACTGAATGGCCAGTTTTCTTACAGTTTTGACTTGGTATAGAACTCACGTGAGAAATTACCAATAAATGTGTCAAATCTTATAATAAAAAAAGAAGTTTTACATACACTATGGGTGAAAATAGGACATCAGATTAAGCCAAAAGTACCTTAACGTACCCATTCAATAACATAAAGAGGTGTCGAGTTCTTACATCTACGATTAATTTATATAAGAAAGTTAATTCTAGTAATTTCTAGGGGCTGTAATCCGACTCGGGAAAGGCTATGTATCGGCTAGAGTTATTCCCGGAGAAAAAACACCGCAGTTTTATTTCCAGAACCAAAAATATCAATTTATTACCTGGACATTGCCTGGTTTTATGGAAGAAACTGGATTGCCAGAAATCGCCAAAACTTAAATTCTATTGATATAAGGGGGATAGAATAGAATGCAATTTCGAATGATAATTAAACGAGCCTCGTGCACAAGCATGCAACTCCATTAAAATCAATTCGCAAGTCTGGTAGTTATTTTGCCATCTGTACAAGCCTCTTAACGAAAAGAAAAATTAGAGAATATAATTTTTATTCAATCTTTATATACAGCAACATCCAATTTCAAAAGTACCTTAGTAATAATTAATGAATTATGTAAACGAAATTAATCAATAAATGTTACTATGATTGAAAGTTTGAAGATTTCCATTCCTGTCTTTATCATCTAACATCAAAACGCATAAGGTCCGATAATGCTGCTCTTGTGGCTGGAAGCTGGTACCCGATGCCCGCGGGGAAAAACCCGTCTAAACCCTTCGTGGGGAATGCCGGGAAAGTGCCCACGCCACGATACTTCAGTCTTTATAACATGACAACTTTTTTTAATGACACGACGCCTTACAGTTCAAGAATATCGACCGTTTTAGACAACGTGGTGCAGCTGAATAAACTTTCTCTTGTAACTACAAATTTTTCTCTATATACACAATACTGGTACACAAGATGAAGCACAAGTATTTGGCAAAGTAATTTCTACAGAAAGATATGCTAAAGCCAATTAAGACATTTACTAGAGTCTTAACACAATTAAACAGGCTAATTTTAACTTTATCCAGGGGATGAAGTCATAAATAAAGCGACTCAACCCTTTTACAACTTAAAACATCCATCAAAGCTTGAACATATAGTTCTTTCTAATGATGAACATAAAAAAATTCAGGTAAAATGATTATTACTCAGACACCTCAACGATTAAAACCAAACTGACATCTAACTCTTTGAAATATTTCAGATCTCACATTAGACTACACTTTATGGCCGTCTATGTAGATTTCAATGTGAATTTTTCGATCCGAAGAAAAAAGTGCATTTGTGATGAATTGGACATATTTGTCAATTATAACACTTAAGAAAATCATAATATTAGTAATATTAATAATTTGCGATCCTCCATCTTGAGAGATGACTGTGTGCACCCAGCCATCCCTCACGAGGAGCAGACTGTACAAAAAATATAATGAAACATTTTCTCAAACGTAATATATTTCATTATAATAGATTTTGCACAAGCTGTCAATGTAAAATCTTTTCATGTAAAAGCATTTACATGAAGTCAGATTTTACAAAGATGCGATAGTTAGTTGAGATTAGTGTGCGGATTATGATCTTCTCAAACGCTATACTGACGAACAACTCCACATCAACAGCACAAATTTGAAAAATGACTACATCACTAAGAATGAAATAAACACAACCGACCATAAGTGGTGGCAACACCAGTTTTGTGAGCAAAAAACCATCTGCATTTAGAATGTGGATAAAGCAACTGGATATTCAATTTTATTTTTTTAATAATTATTATAATAACTGTATAGGCAGACAAGCTTTTCATACAGAACCACAATTCATCTTATTCAATTGACCACTTATGGAATTATGAATGATCAGTTTTTCTTAAGCTATTGAAATAAAACGTTTGGCTGTCATAAGTGAAAAAAATAAAACTTACTAAATGCAATTACAATTACACCCAACTCATATCTGCGACCCATGAACCGCAAAAATTCTCAACATCCAAAAGATACGAGTGCATTATTATATTGCATTCCTCTTAAATTCAGTATATAGCTCTTCATTACCGTCCCACATTCTCTAAAATTTTTTGCAGACAAGTCGTGTCCTTAAAAACCAAGACTGCTAGGACGTCCGATCATCAATGAAAGTGGCTACAGAGGCTCGTTGCTAGCGCTATATTGTGTTTCACATCTTGGACATTTAGGCTAGGATTGATGTTATCTGCGTTCAGGCATTATTTCAGAAAATTGCCCTTCCGTAGCCTACAAATGAAATGTAACACGTTCACATAATATCAAAAGCAATTGATATCTTGCAGTTATTGCAACAAAGAACATGCATGTTACAGGTATTTACACACCGTTAACACTAATAAGTATTTTGATATTCCATAAAGCTTTGGTTCTTCACGATTATTTTATTTTTTTATTTCTATAATACAACACAAGAAAACCACATTGTGATAAAGAAGAGTGCTTAGATTCTACAAAAAGAAAGTGACTAGAAAATAAGAGGGATGAAGGAAGGCATATGAATCACGAAAACGCCTAACGATCTAAACAATATAAACAGATGAAAATACAAGTTTACCTGTACGATTGCCTTTTAGTATCACAACCGTTACACTGAGGGTGAGGTTGGGGGGGGGGGGGGNCAGCACTCCGCAGTCAGGCTTACCTTAAAGAGGTTTCCCTGTCATATGCCTTGGACGCTTTCCCACTGCAGCCATCTCGTAGACCCAGACCATGGCAGGACTCGCTGGCACCAAGGATTGTTCGGATGTGCAGATGTGGCCCTCTTCTCCTCTCAGTTGTCAGTGGGAGTTCCATCGAGAATCGCTATAATCGAATCCTGTTAACAGAAAGAAAAACGAATTAATGACTTTTCCAACCTGTGTCAGCACTCTGCAATCGGGCTTACCTTTAAGATGTTTCCCTGTCATATGCCTTGGACGCTTCCCCAGTGCGGCCACCTTGAAGACAGACCATGGCAGGACTAGCTGAATACATCCCCAGTGCAGCCACCTCGTAGACAGACCATATGGCAGGACTCACTGGCACCAAGGATTGATCGAAGTAGCTGAAGTGTAGATGTGGCTCTCTTACCCTTGCTGTTGTCAGTGGTAGCTCCATTGAGAATCACCATAATCAAATCCTGTTAACAGAAAGAAAAACGGGTTAATGACTTTTCCAACCTATGTCAGCACTCTGCAGTCAGGCTTACCTTTAAGAGGTTTCCCTGTCATATGCCTTGGACGCTTCCCCAGTGCAGCCACCTTGAAGACAGACCATGGCAGGACTAGCTGAATACATCCCGAGTGCAGCCACCTCATAGACAGACCATATGGCAGGACTCACTGGCACCAAGGATTGATCGAAGTAGCTGAAGTGTAGATGTGGCTCTCTTACCCTTGCTGTTGTCAGTGGTAGCTCCATCGAGAATCGCCATAATCGGATCCTGTTAACAGAAAGAAAAACGGATTAATGACGTTTCCAACCTATGTCAGCACTCTGCAGTCAGGCTTACCTTTAAAAGGTTTCCCTGTCATATGCCTTGGACGCTTGCCCACTGCAGCCATCTCGTAGACCCAGACCATGGCAGGACTCGCTGGCACCAAGGATTGGTCGGATGTGCAGATATGGCCCTCTTCCCTTTGCAGTTGTCAGTGGTAGCTCCATTGAGAATCACCATAATCAAATCCTGTTAACAGAAAGAAAAACGGGTTAATGGCTTTTCCAACCTATGTCAGCACTCTGCAGTCAGGCTTACCTTTAAGAGGTTTCCATCTCATATGCCTTGGGCGCTTCCTACTGCAACCATCTCGTAGACCCAGACCATGGCAGAACTCGCTGAATACACCCCCAGTGCAGCCACTTCGCAGACAGACCATATGGCAGAACTCGCTGAATACACCCCCAGTGCAGCCACTTCGCAGACAGACCATATGGCAGGACTCGCTGGAAGCTTTCCCACTGCAGCCATCTCGTAGACCCAGACCATGGCAGGACTCGCTGGCACCAAGGATTGTTCGGATGTGCAGATGTGGCCCTCTTCTCCTCTCAGTTGTCAGTGGGAGTTTCATCGAGAATCGCCATAATCGAATCCTGTTAACAGAAAGAAAAACGGATTAATGACTTTTCCAACCTATGTCAGCACTCTGCAATCGGGCTTACCTTTAAGATGTTTCCCTGTCATATGCCTTGGACGCTTCCCCAGTGCGGCCACCTTGAAGACAGACCATGGCAGGACTAGCTGAATACATCCCCAGTGCAGCCACCTCGTAGACAGACCATATGGCAGGACTCACTAGCACCAAGGATTGATCGAAGTAGCTGAAGTGTAGATGTGGCTCTCTTCCCCTTGCAGTTGTCAGTGGTAGCTCCATCGAAAATCGCCATAATCGAATCCTGTTAACAGAAAGAAAAACGGATTAATGACTTTTCCAACCTGTGTCAGCACTCTGCAGTCAGGCTTACCTTTAAGAGGTTTCCCTGTCATATGCCTTGGACGCTTCCTTACTGCAGCCTCTCGTAGACCCAGAACACAGCGGGACTACCTGCACCAAGGATTGATCGAATGAGCTGAAGTGTAGATGTGGCCCTCTTCCCTTTGCAGTTGTCAGTGGGAGCTCCATCGAGAATCACCATAATCGAATCCTGTTAACAGAAAGAAAAACGGATTAATGACTTTTCCAACCTGTGTCAGCACTCTGCAGTCGGGCTTACCTTTAAGATGTTTCCCTGTCATATCCCCTGGACAGGCTGTGGCAGGACTCACTGGCACCAAGGATTGATCGAAGTAGCTGAAGTGTAGATGTGGCTCTCTTCCCCTTGCAGTTGTCAGTGGTAGCTCTATCGCGAATCGTCATAATCGAGTTCTGTTAAAAGAAAGAAAAACGGATTAATTACTTTTCCTACCTATGTATGTAATAAGAAGAAACCTGGAATGCATGAAAATATGTGCTGTGGCACTACAACAATATAGCCCATAATAGCAGAAAGCCGATGATGTATCCTGCGAAGATTCCTGAGCGACGATTCCTCGTGAAGAGAAGCGAAGGTTTTAGCTGGCCAGCTAATTAGAGAAACGTCGAATCCACCGTCCAGACAGCCGTGTGATCGTCGATGAGCGAAGCGTTGACTTGGGACGAGGAAAAGATTCGGAGAAATGTGAGTTGACTCCTGTGTCCTTTTTGCTTGATACGGGGCGCAGTATATGGCATCCTTCCTGTTGCTCCAGATCTGCTTGCGTTGAATGAACGCAATTTCAAAATTCCGCGCTTTTATGCTTTCAGTGATGTAAAGTCACATGGTGGCGTTCCAGTTGTCACTAATGATCAATTTGTTTATAGGGGGTGGCGTTTGATAGTGATGCTCATAATTGATTTTAATATCTGATTAACATGTACATTTTATTTACTATATTTATTTTGATTTTTCTGTTTATCATTTTATTTTATAATAAGAGCAATGTGCATTAGATAATGACTTCGAAATGTACAGGTAAATTTGATGACAATTTCTGAGCAACATACCTTCTCCCCATAATTATAATGGACACGATGTCCGTTAAAACTGGATCAGGTAGACGCGAACATCTCGCAGGCCACTATAGTACGTGCGTATTTGAACACTGATCCAAGATGTGGATAATGTAATAGGTTGTAAGGTGACTGCATTTTCGAGGCAGTCCCAGGGAAAATGTTTGTTTTGATTGTAGTGAATCAATTGAAAGTACACTGGGCTTAGCATGTACAGCCACCTCTGTACCTTGAAATACATGTTGTAATCAACAGAAGTGTTATTCTGAGAAATGAAAAACCAGTTAGGCCTATTGTGTTTTTACGAAACGAGAGAAAATAGCAGTAGGTCAAATGAAGAATCTTGATTTACTTATGCCAGTCAGTAGAAACAAATGAATATTTTTCATATATAGCGTCTACTAATATAGGTAATAATTAATAGCGGACGCCTCCCTTCATGACTTTCTCATTTATGCGTTTACATTTTCACCGAAAATCTCAGTCGAAAACTGCACTAATACACTTTTTAACATTGTTATAAGTCTGAGTGGTCACTGGCATCCTTTCACGTCTCCCTGGCGATCACATCAACCAAAGTTGTCGAACACTAGAGCTTACGTGTTAATTAGTCAATTTCTTATTATCAATGTTTTCATGGCCAGGCAAACAATAGCTCCATTTGTGTGTTTTTTCAGTGAGGTGGTCTTTGACTCGACCCAGCTTGAAAATCGGGACTTGCTTCGCCTGCCATGAGAACACTCACTGTTTCTCCATACATAGGTCCATTTCACATTAAAAAAATTCATTAAGAATTATCGAGAGAAAATATGTTTGTCTATGTGAAAAGATGTACTGCGGTACCCGAGCGTGCATGTTTATAAATAAATAAGTAATAAAAGTATCTCTATAGACAATGATGACTTGCTTCAATTACAGTAATAAGAGATTACAGACAGTTGTTTATATTCCACAGGGTTTGTTAAGAAATTAATGAAATGTTAACAATGTAGAGCATTGATGTTATGGATATATAACAGGAGAAGTGCATGTCAATCATCCGGAGTTTCAGAGACAACTAGACTTATTCTCAGTGATTCTGTAAGTTTAAGTAACAATTTAAGAACCACAGGTCGGTCAAAACTCTTCTATTATCAGGATGCCTGTGGGGTTTCATGTTTTCTTCCAAACTTTGAAACTCGGGGTTAACTGTATGAAAGGTAAGCTCCAGAATACTGTAAGCTTGCCTCTGTTATCAAATTGCCCCATGTGAGCGCACTCAGAACAGATGATCCGCCGACTAAATATGGCCAACTCCACTTAAAAAAGCGATGCTGCTAATTCCTTAATGGTCTCCTCGCCTCCACATGCTCCATCCGCGGAGCCCCCGCCCCCTTAAAATAACCCTGGATCTGCCCCTGCCTTGTTCAGCGATATTGTAAATATAAAACGAAAAAATGCATTCCTGACATTAGACCTATTTATTACTATCATATTATATGTACACATTTAAGTAACTGCCAGTAACATTTGCTATATATGAGAAGGGTTTCGGCTGGATGATCACAAACACGTACAGTGAATGTAAATGATAATGGCTTGCCATTAAAATGCCCCTCATGTGTTTATTGGTATATGAGACAAATAAAATATTTTCAGGTTTACAGGATTTTCCCCTTTATTCAAAATCATAATCATTGATATTAGTATAAATGTTGCCGTCATCATGACCAGGGTCGTAGGGAACCCGTTCTACTGCATGTTGTACTCATCTAGACGCCAACTAAAGCAAAAGTTAGACACTTTTGATAGACTGAGAAAATGGAAAAATGTTATTTTTCAAAAAAAATCTCTCTCTCTTTCTGTATATATATATTGTTACTTTCGAATCCAGGTCTTTAAGGTAAGGTTTTAAAATAAGGAATGTGTTATATGTAGCATTTTACCAGTGGGAAGTAACGTTGCGGGTATGTGACAATCAGGGCATCTGTAGATCGCCAGAAAACTTAAAATTGTTTAAAAGAGGGTATAAGTTTCCCTGCATGCTGAGCTCGGTTACTCAAGTTTATATACATTTTATGGTTAGTAAAGAGAAACAGAACAGTAAGCATAAGCTCTAATTATATACAATTATTGCTTTGTGTTATGTTATTATTAAAACTAATAAAGCAAACTGTAAATGAGTTTATTTTCTTTCACATTTCTTCCAACGTTGGGATCGGGTAAGGTAATAAAATGCTTTCCATCAAAATATACAACAACAGTTTCAGCTATGACGGTTTATTAAATAATGTCCCCTGATGAAGTATGAATATACTGGCAATTGCCAAAACACATATACAGTAGTTCTGTACACAATTGTTTATATTAGCCTATACATGACCAGCAACTGAAAGCAAAGCATGAGGATATCTCACCTAGCTTACAATGCATACCAATATGATGCTCTCTAATCCATAAATAACACGAGTTATTTGGAAACCTGATAATTCATTTGTGGTAAACAAAGTAACAATAAAATATCAACAGTTTTCAATTTGTAAATTTTGTTCTCTTCCCAACAATCAGATCTGTCTACAACCATGTAAGCTCAGGCATTTGGCATCTGACTGGCACCTGTTCTTTCCTCTCGTCATACCATTATTCACAAAATTGTCACAAATAAGAGCATATGTATGATTACTTTACCAACAGGGAAGTCTAAAAGTGGCATGAAAATAATTACTGCTGCTAAAAGTTCATTCAGACAAGCATTTTTCGAGAAAATTTTCTATGAACAAAATGGCGGTAGACTCTTGTCTGCTGCGGGTCACTAGACAAACAAAGAACTAGGTTTTCATGTCGCAAGGATCATTAACCAATCAAGGTGACAGCCAAGCCAAGGTGCTCCTACCCATGTGACTGGTTTGCTAAGCAGATCACTGAAGGCAGATCACGCAACAAGCATTTAACACCTAAGCACTATGTGGTGTAACTGGCTGCTACCATTTAGCTAGAAGAGTTCCAGCGATAATTTCTGTATGTAATTCATGTCATCACTCAGCTGACCTCCAGTACAGAGTAGTGCGAAGTGCCAGAAAACACTTGGATCCTCAAGGAATTATATCATTAAAAATATAACCCTGTGCTTTTAAAGTTACCACTGTTCATCATCTGTTGACATGATATATGACCTCTTCCTGCTCCATTGGTACTCTTTGATTGGCCAATACCCGTGGTCTGCTTAGGAGCAAAGGAACTACCAATGGTTCTCCAAGCTCGATATGAGCTTTTTCTGTGTGTGACTCCTCATATACTTTATATTGGAGAAACAAAACTGCATGTAATGGACCCTAAAATACAAAGAGCAAATCAGTGGAGTGATTGGTGATGACTTTGATATCTTAAAATAATCAAAGACTTAGTCAATATTAATTTATCTGTTCTTGTCAAAATGAATACAATAAAAGTTCTGGAAAGTAATTGCACATTTTTAGATTAAAAAAACAACTGCTCTTTAACAGGTGAGGTGCTAAACAAGACTCCATAATAAACTTACACGAAGATTCTGGATGTCATTGAATTCTGATTTGGCAATATATGGCCTGGAACTTTTACATGATTTCTTGCAACGATTTTGAGTACTGTAAGCCTGAAATGAAAGCAGTAAAATTCTTAAAATAACAGAACAGATGCAACACTTGCAAAAACAAGTTAACTTTATTTTCATTAATTTTATTTAAAATAAATTGATTTCCTTACAATGTAAATTTTAAAGTGACATACATTATATATTCTGAAACTTTAAATGCACAAATTTTGGCTTGATAGCCATAAGATACACTAATGTTGTCCCCCCCTTCTATTTCAAAATGGGGGATTATAATAGTAGAACCAAGTAATAAAAGAGTAATTTATTTTTTGCCTCCCTTTTTTTAAGATTTACCCCTGACATTTAACCTAAGGAACATTTTACTCCTTTTAGAATGTTACTTTTTGATGAAACTACGTAAAATAATCCAAACTAAAAAGTTCAACACAGTGTTACTCACATCAACAAGGTGCTCCACCCATGCTGCCACATTACTACAAGCTGCTTCATCAAGTACTGTTGTATGCACCTCTAGCTGGTTACAGAATGCTGCTTCAAAGTCTAGTTTCACTATAATATTACTTTCAGGAGATCTGTAAGTTGTTGAAGAGGGGCATTCTGAAAGAAAAGGTTAATATACAGTATATGAGGTACTGTGCAAAACATAAAATGAAAAAAGTGACTTTCACTGAAAATGTTCACAATGACAGGCAGCACTACATATGGACAGACAACCTTTAGCAGTGTAAACATGGAAGACTGACAATATAATACAAAAACATACAAAGTTTGAGCCCTGACAACCATAACTTTGAGAAAATCATCCAATCAGGCTTGTTTTCAAACTTGACCTGTACTTTTCCCCTATGACTAGAAATTTTAATTAACATGGTTTTCTTTTTATCGCATTTACAAGCAAAACATTTGTGATTTCAAGGGTACAGTGACACCATTGATGACAGTGGTAACAGACATACTAGTATGAGGTGTCTATCCATAAAAAAGTAACAATAAAAAATTAATAGAAAAAAATTCATAAAGGTAGAAAAGAAATGAGTTAGAAAGAAGAAACTACATATGACATATTATTTTGTCACAAAAGGTGTATTTCATTCAATTTCATACTTTTCAAATGGTATTTATGAATACCAATTTATATGATTTGTCACTTTAGCACATGAATCTCACCCCATGATTGCTGCCATCGTAGCAAGTTTTTGTCAAAACGTTGTGTAGATCCTCTAAAGTCAATTGGATCTGTAAAGCTTCTTGCCTCATTGAGGTTGGTTCTTACTTCTGGAAACTGTACTTCTTTAGCAAGTGCATCTTTATTCACAGCTAAAAAACAAAAACCAGAAATAGCCATGCAATATATAAATAAATCAAATAAATAAATAAAAGTTAAATTTCAAATTATCGTAAAAAGTAACATAATGATTTAAGGCTTATTTCATGATTTTATCTATCCAAATGCTTTTGCCTGTTACATTAATATTATATTGAAAAGCAAAATAAATTAAATAATAAGTCCCTCATGTCAACAGTGGGTACAAAGAACAAAGGTAACAAAATTACAACCAGACAGTTTTAAATCTCACCTTGTGCTACTTCTTGAAACATTGTGCTGACCATCTTCTTTTGCTTAATCAATTTTTTAAGATGCTTGACAAATATGCCATTCACTGAACACAATGAGGTATCAACAGGCATCAGTGGTTCTTCTTCATATGCTTCCATGGAGAAACTGGTTGCATAAGCAAACACCATGTTGCCTCGGACTGCAGGCTTGTATATTTCTACGGATTCTGTGGCATGGACATTTCTGAAATTCACAATTTTATTTTGCATAAGATACACAGACATAATTAATAAAAAAAGTTACTTATAACTTGAATCGGGAAAAGCAATACATATGTAACAAAGATGTTATTATTTGACTGGTTACATTCAGTTGCACTGGAAATGACAATGAATTTATGCAAACATATGTGAGGTGCACAAAATACATACTCCTTCCTACATATATCTAGCATCATAACTGCCAGAGCTGGGTTCATTTCCTGCATTTTCTTCAGCACATATTCAGCACAGACACAGTCATTAGCACCATACCCAGTGCTGGCATCAGAGGGTACAAGGTAGCACTGGCCCTGCTTTTCAAAACCATGTCCAGCAAAGTAGAACACACCTGACAATAATAAAACCAGCAAAATTATGTTTAGTCTTCCGTGAAAACAAACCTGGATCTCCCTGTTTGTTACAAATATCCAATTCATATGAAACTATATTTATACTAGAGTGTTCAAAGTAACTGCTAAATACATGTGACAAATAAGAGTTTAAAATGCTTGAATTTAGAAGCACTCAGTCAAAACTTGATCACATTTGCATAGAAGTAAAAGCACTACGAGTGCAGTAAATCTTACCATAAACACCCTTAAACAGCAACTTGCAGAATTCATCAACTGCATTTAAAATTTGCTCTTTTGTTAAATTAATGAGAGAAACCACTTTGAAGTTCATCTCTTCAAACAGATTTTGTAAGTCTCTGATGTCATTTGGAGGAGCAATGAGGTTCTTTTCACATCTATAATGATGGTTTCCTATTAAGAGGACAACTTTGTCTGTTGCTGAAAAGCAAAAGAACTACAGTGAGAAAACTTGTTACTCTTGAACAAATTGGCAATTAAAGTGAAATTTAACACTTAACAAGCAAGTCAATTATGCAATCATAAAATAGACTTATTTCCTTTGCTGCCCTTATTAGTGCTGTTTGAAACTTTTTACATGTAGTTTAAGTAGCATGGATTTATATTTTTTCATGCACCTTTATGCAAGTAACTGTTTGACATCCAGTTATAATTTATATATAATAAGCACATCAATTCGTCATAGTCAGCATCACCTACCAGTGAATTCCCTATTATCTGAACAGAAAACCTCCACTTTGGCCACCTTGGACAGTGCCTTTCCATGTCTATTGCTAACACTGCACTGATAAATTCCTTTATCATCTACCGTCACATTGTTCAACTCGAGCCTCGGGCCAGCATGACCTGAATAAATATTTGATATATGAGACAGAATTTTAGTCAGTAAAATATTAATTTTAAATTTTCAACTTTATCTATAAGCAGTTTTGCCACAGATTATACATACTGATATATGTACAGGTACCTTCTATGGGTTTTCCATCTTTATACCATTGAAAAGCAATTGGCTCCATTCCTATTGCTTCACAATTCAACACTGTGGTCCCTCCTTCCTCCAGTTTGCAGGCCTTTGGAGACTTGGTAATGGTGGGTGAGATGGGGACTGGCTGAGAACCATAGGCTGAAATCATGAAAATAATTGATATCCACTCTATTTCTATCACTTATCACATTATCAAATACACATTAGCTACTTCATTAATTATTTGGGAATTTCAAAGGAACACATACACAGTATCAAATATATGTTGTATTGGTGCAAAAAATACTTTCCAAATTTTAGTGATCAAAGGAAATGTCTGAATCAGTGGGTACATGGATAACACATTATAAGTCAGTGGCATGTTCTACTTCAGTAACACCATTATGTGGATGATCTGTTAAAAAAATTAAGTAAATACCTAGCTCCACTTGAACTTGAACTTCTTTGCTCCTTGCCTCCCCATATCTGTTTGACACAACACACTGGTATATTCCACTGTGATCAGTACTGGCACCACTACACTGGAAAAATATAACTAACCAATAAAAAAAACTACTACCCCTAGAAACTAGTTGAACATTAAACAAATAAAAACTGTGAAACTGCATGTTTATAACATCTCAAAATACTAATATTTTTGTTAAATCACATATTTTTGTGTTTCTTTGAAAGTTTCATTCTGGAGGTACATATCTAGGTATCAGTTGTTCATTCAAATATAAATCTTATTTAAACTTTTGGGGGAGGCAGATTTTGACACTAGTATATTCCACATTATCATACAAATTACTGAGGAATGAAAATGTTGTGAAGACTGACATAAAATCTCATTCCAGTTTCCACATGAAGAGGCTGGCCATTTCTATACCACTGGTACTTAAGAGGCGATTGTCCACTGGCATCACAGACTATTTCAAATGGTTTCCCTGCTATAATCTGAAGTTTAAAATAATTGAAAGGAATATGTCAACTTATCTTTGCTGTGCATTGCAAGATTTTCTGCAAATACATCTTATTATTAATTACCCACACATAGAAAAAATCAATACAAATAACAAAAGATAAAATGTCACACAATTTTATATAGCTTCCACCTTACACATTTTGAAACCTAAAAAGCAAACCCATTTTTTAGCCAAATAATCTATGAATAAGCTGCTTTGATATATATATAATTACAAAACTAAAACTATAATTTTATTTCACAATCTATTTGTTAACTTCATCAACCTTTTCCTCAAGAGTAAAACTTACCCTGTTGTCATTCAGTTCCGGTTGTCGAGCTATGTATGGTGCATTAGGATGAAGTGGTGTTACATAAGACTCAGTGGGTGTCCGAGAGTACAAATTTTCGCATCCTTGATCTTTGGAGGGAATAATAAAACTGTACATTATGCAGCACAGATTTAATCAATGGGTTGTACCCCAATTAAATAGCATCTTCAAAGAAATTTATGTACTAATGTAATATTAAAAAAAACAAACACTAAAATTCTTGACAACATTATTTGCAAAATAAGACATGGATTATAATGCTCTCTGTCATATCAATTAAGTCTTTAAACCTATATTTAGTCCAAATTTGTTATTTAAAACCATATGACCAGAACAAACTATCCTACCTTGATTGTAATTGCAAGGCTTAACTTGAACCATTGCAGGCTTGGAAAAACATACACCTTCATTCCCACGGTTATGAACTCTGCAGACATATCGCCCTTTGTCTCTCAATCTGAAATACGTAAAAAATGTTATTTTCTTTACAACTATACAATATGCAGTTGAATGCAAACAAATAACTAACTTCATCATAAATTTCCACTTTTTTCCATTTAAGTAATCCACTTTATGCATGTGAACTAATATTCTTATAAAAACAGCAAGACCACTTTCCTACTTTTAATATTATAAAAATCATTAAACCACAGGGGTTGTGTAAAACAAAATATAAAGATGTGGTATATCTCCAGTCTGCAACATCAACCACTGGCCTGACTGTCAATGTCAGTGAATATTGGACATGGCCAGGGAAATTTCTGCAAATATTACTGACCTGATTCGGCCACTGGATTTTTTACAGCTATAACATGAACTCCAATTCATTCATGCTAAATGTTGAACTCTTTTTTCTTAATAACCTTTTGAAAAGCCCATTTTTGTTCTAATTTGTAATAGAAATTAAGCTAGTTTAACCTCAATGTGTTTATTTAAGTAATTTTTTCAAACTTTTTTTGAAATTGAACTCAGGCCAGTGAATATTGGTTCAGGCCAGTATAGTCTCAGACCCTGGTGGTCTGGACAGCCTGTTACTTCAAAAGTATTTGGCACAGACTGCATCACACATACCATATCTGGGTCTCTTGTTCTTGACATCACTGCAGTACAAGTCAGATAGACCACTAGTCAGTAAGATGTATGTGACATCCACTCCTGTTTCCCACTCGTGTACATCACATTCATCTTGATGACTTGTGGTATCTTTAATACTTATCATCATACTTTATGGCAGGAATACACAGGAGAGATTCACTTCCACTCAATACTTCAGCTTGTCCGTTAAACCACTGATACCGAGGAAAAGGAAACCCAGTAGCTTCACACTCCAGTGTGAGCGTATCACCTTCTTCAAGAACTACACTGGCCACTGGTTCCTTGCAAATCTTCACAGGTTCTGAAAAGTCAACAGCACTGATGTGAATTAACAGTGTGCACAGGAAAAACAAAAGCATATTTAGATATACCAGTAAACTCCTGTATTTCATTGAAAATGTTTGTCTTAACAAGTAGGCATACATCCAGCCCCCTTCAAGAATATTTTAGAAAAATCCAATGTGTTTTTCAAATGAACACTCGTACACAATCATGCCCTTACAAAAAAAGAGAACAAATTTTTCCACAACAATTTTTAATCTATTCATATTTTTAATACTATGTGATACATTGACAATTATGTTGCACTGCCTTTACCATGAGCAATCAAAAGTTCCAGACATTTTTCATTTTTCATGGCCCACAGATAGGACACTAATTGTTCCACAGTGCGTCCACGTGTGCCAAGCCTCTGTAACAGTTTCTGAGAAGGACTCTGATGAGAATGTATGCACATTGCTATTTGTTCCACTTCCTCTGGTCTACAATTAAAGACGTTATTATGTCACATTAAAACAGTTATATTATAAAGGTACATTTTCTTTGGTCTGCAGTTATTTCTCTCAATGTCTGATCTAGATTACATCTTCCTGCTTCTTTCTCTACACTCTACATAGTTTAATAGACAGGGAAAGCAAACAGTTTTATTCACATTTTACTTATTTTAAAATGTTCATTATCTAACAAAGTAACATTTTGTTCATTGTCAAATTATGAATAATAATTGGAATATCAAGCTTTTTTTCGGACCTGAATGGACTGTCTGGGATTGCTGCCACAAGGTCCCTCCATCCTTGTGTAGAAGATGGGGAAGCATCCAAATAATTAAATAATTTCTTAAGGATGAGAAAATCAATGTCACAGATGTTAGTGTCCTTTTTTATAAGGTATGTTCTGTCTTCACTCTTAAACATATTTGAACCATGAACTGTAAAAAAAAGACACAAAAATATAAGTTTAAAACTGAAAAAAAACTGCATTTCAGACATGCAGGGGTACATGTAAATGCTACTTTACTGAACCACTTAAATCTGCATTATTCCTACTTAAGGAAATAGGTAGCACGAAGATTTATACGAAAGCACCCCTATTAGCGATATGTACTATACTATGTATTAATAGTACATATCATATTCCGTAACACACATGAAACATCGAGCTAGACTTCGGGCAAAGCGACACAACAAGATCTTTGCTACATTCTCTTAAATAAATAAAACTTTTATGAATCAACAATTTCAACTTGTTAAACTTTAAAGATATCCAAAGATATCCAAACAACAAACCTGTATTAAACACCACCACTGGACTGATCTAGATTACATCTTCTTGCTTCTTTCTCTACACTCAACAAGGAAATAAATCTAACAGGGAAATCCCCTATCGTGACGTCATCGCTACTGCACCTAGATATTTCATAAATCCATTAAAGCAAATTATTGCTATCCATACATTTTTAGAATAAGTGTAGATCTATTCTTTTAATCTAAATCCTGAAAATTATATCGTTCATTTTATTCTCATTTAAACGAGATCTGTTATATTTATCCGCCTGATAGACTCGTTCTAAAAAAAATATCTCGTATTGTGTTGCTTAAAACGAGGCTATTCTTTCTTGCCAACAAATATTCATTGGTATGGCGGCGTTTTTAAATGCCTGAATTTGTAAAGTTAGATACAAACGTTTAGGGTAGACTAGGAATACATATTTTCAAAAACCAGTGGAATTTTAGAACTTTTCAAAGTAACTTTTATCAAGTAAGTGTATATCATTAGGATACATTTGATTTTAATAGCCGGGGGGGGGGGTTCTGGGGGTTAGAAAGAACCACCCCTTTTGCTGGGAAAAAGTCCACTCTGGGTAAAATTTGATCTAGGTACATGAAGTTTTTATGGAAAAAGGTCCAGCTAAAAGGGCGGTTCNTTGTGTTGCTTAAAACGAGGCTATTCTTTCTTGCCAACAAATATTCATTGGTATGGCGGCGTTTTTAAATGCCTGAATTTGTAAAGTTAGATACAAACGTTTAGGGTAGACTAGGAATACATATTTTCAAAAACCAGTGGAATTTTAGAACTTTTCAAAGTAACTTTTATCAAGTAAGTGTATATCATTAGGATACATTTGATTTTAATAGCCGGGGGGGGGGGTTCTGGGGGTTAGAAAGAACCACCCCTTTTGCTGGGAAAAAGTCCACTCTGGGTAAAATTTGATCTAGGTACATGAAGTTTTTATGGAAAAAGGTCCAGCAAAAAGGGCGGTTCTTTCGAACCCCCCGATAACCCCCCCCCCCCCCCCCGGCTAGGGGCCTGGATATATACGTCATAATAATTAATATATACAGGTGACACTTAACATTGCCTCAGTTTTTGGTCCCACATGCTACACAAATCATGCCTCATAACACCCTGTGTTAGAAACTCTCGTGGCTATATGTGCTGTCACTCACAAATGTAAGTACTAACACTGCTGAATAGCTGAGATAAGTTGAGTGTGCATATGGTATTTGTATGTAGACAACATCTTATAATTTGTTTGGCACTGATTACAGTAATCATGTCTGGAGAACTTGATCTTGTATCACATCGGGCAGAAATATTTCGCTCAAAACTCATTGAAGACTTTCATTTGTTGGATGGAATGGATGAAAGAGGAAAGATTGAAGCTCCAAAATATTATTCAAAAGATGCTTCAGGTTGGTTTTGCTTATCATTTTATTCTTTGTAAAGATAAGCTACATGTAAACATTGTACATTTACTTGAATAGTTTAAAAGTAAATGTAAAACTAAATGTCTGTTTAATATTTGTGTAGGCATTGAATGTTTTCTACTGATGCTCATTGCTGCTAGTTTGAAATGACCTTTAATTTTTTATTGCACCAGGATACAGCAAATTTGTGATTGATAATCATTATGTGTGCTATGGATTAAACATTTGAACTTTGAGAAACTGAAATTGGAGGCCATACAAGAAAGAAAGAAATATATAGTGAATTTTTTCTGGGCAAAGTACTGGTAATAAGAATTCATGTGGTTTTGAACATTTAGATGTGTGAATAAGGTGAAGTTGGGAAGGGCACAGGTAAAAACTCTAAAAAATCCTTTTTTTTTTTTTTGCTTCAACCTCTTTTACACTGGATGGCGTCCTTTGTGTGACCATGAAACTGGTATTGCTGTGGTGGTAGAAAGGAGCCACAAGCATTGCTTTGGTTGCAGAATGAATTCTCAATGCTTGGCTAGTTGTTGGCATGTAAAGTATTATTTTTTTACTCTCAGACTGGGCCATACTATGGGACGAAGAAAGGGTGCCATCCAGTGTAAAGGAGGCTTTCATCACCCTCCTCTCTTCATTGTCAGTGGTTCACGTTCAATTTATGATTCGATTTTTCTTAGATCCTCTTAAATTTAAGAAGATTTTGTTTGAGAATCCTACTGGACTGGTTCGCTTTCAAGTGTATTCAAGCAAAGATAAAGTGGTTCTCAGCAAAACGGACAGAAGGAGGAATAGGCTGGTCAATAAAAATACAAAGAACCCACCTTTGAACATGTGGGCAGACTGGATTGTTGAAAATATCCTTTTCAACAAGATAATAATATTGATTCTTTTCGATATGCTGATGTTCACAATTATGAAGTGTGTAAATTGTAATTTGGAGTTTAATTCTTTTATTTGTGTTAAGAAACTGTGGGAGATATCTTATTTATGGTTTACTGATAACATATAACAATATATAAAATATTTATACAAAATCCAGATTGTTTGTTTAGATAAGAAAAGAAATAGACTTTGGTGATGTAATAAAGTGCTATATTTCCTTGACTGCCATTCAGGTTCTTGGTTCCAGAATACAATTTTGGGAATTATTTTGCTTAACACTGTTGTCTTGGGAGTACAAGCAGGTAATATTTATGTATTTTATTATACTGTTTTATCCATTCCTGTGATTTTACAATTTTCCATGTATGAATATCACTTTTTTCTGTGCACTGAATAAATCCAGTTTAATATTTAATTAAATGTTCACAGAGTTATTCAGTTAATGCTACTATAACAATAAATACATTATTTAGTATGCTGTGCAAAAAGGCATGATGTGGTAATCGTGTATTGAAATGAAATTTTGCCTTTTTCAGAGATAAGTGAAAACAACTCTCCTGATGTCAAACACCTACGTACCATTCTAGATATATTTGACTATGTATCTCTATTTGTGTTTGCTTTGGAGATTTTTCTCAAGTGGATTGATGATTTTATTACATTTTGGCAAAATGGATGGAACATATTTGACTTCTTGGTTACCTTCTTGGTATGTGTATAATACAGTATACAAACAGTATATGATTTTAATTTTATTTAAATAGACCAATATAGATATAACAGTTTGAATATAAACATGCTTAAAAGGTCATACTCACAGATGAAACTTAAAATAAGGAAGATATTTATTAATTTGTGACAATGTTAAAATCAGAAAATCCTGTCATGGCATTACATGAACATTTTCTTCCATTTCCAGTCTTTCATCCCAGAGATAATGAAGTGGACCTCTCCAGTTAAGAATGACTCTGTAACCTCAGAACTTAGTGTAATTGCTGATAATTTGAGAGTTTTCAGAATTCTCAGATCCTTGAAAATGGTCTCACGTTTTAGACAAGTACGTTTAATTGCACTTGCAGTTGCTAAGGCCTTTCAGGTAAGACACTTTTATTGAAAAAAATTTTTAAAAAATTAATAACCAGCATGAAAGACATCTTTTACATTGTTGGACAATTATAATTTAAATAAAGACCATGATTTGGTCTTTACTTTTTGTAACAGCCTTACAGGGCTATGGTACCTATGTACTATAACTAAATCAAAGGCTGGACAATATTGTATTATGTACTAATTTGGCAAATTGTTAGCAATGTGTTTATTCTAATTGGAATTTTTACTGATTTTTTTTTTTCAGTCCATGATGTTCATTTTGCTGCTCTTGTCTATTTTTGCCTATATATTTGCCATAGCAGGCGTGATCTTCTTTGACCAGCATTCCCAGTCCAACAGAACTGATTTGCTGTATAAATCGAGCTTCAGGTATGGAAAATGTGTGCTAATTTTATTCATTTATTATTATAGTTTTTGTATTTCTATTTTATTTTTTATTCTATGGAACACAAAAGCATTTTCACTTTATCTGTTTAGAGAAGTTCATATTAGCATTCAGATTAGTATGGTATCTTTCAGTCTCTTAATTATGCTTATGTTTATAAGTATTGATGCTTATCAATTTTTTTTAATCAAGATTTATTTTTCTTTATTGCAGCAGCCTGCTGGCAGCGTTAACCACTCTTTTTCAACTGTTAACTTTGGACCACTGGCATGACATATATAAAGATGTGACGCAAGTGGTAGATCCCATGTTTTCTGGCTTCTACATCATATTGTGGATTTGCATTGGATCCTTTATTTTCAGGAACATTTTTGTTGGCATTATGGGTAAATAGACAAAAGTGCTAGTTTCTCCCTGCCTTGATCTTGTCTAGCATTTACTTTTAATTTTAGAGTTACAGTTTTGTTCATCTGCGAGTTTAGAACTGGAAAAAAATCATGGAATCATTCTTTTTTCCTGTCTTCAAACATATGTCATTGATCTGATTTTGATTTAAAGAAAATTAATAGTTATTGAAATTGTTCTTAAAATTTTAGTGCAATATAACAAGTTTTTGCTATTACAATCTGATCTTTGTAGAAGATATTGCTGTAGCATAGTTCATGTAATGTTCAAGACTATTGCATTTCATAATTTATTTTTTATTTCAGTCAACAATTTCCAAAGTATAAGGAANTTGACAGCTTTGCTGCCTTGTTTTTAATCAAGATTTATTTTTCTTTATTGCAGCAGCCTGCTGGCAGCGTTAACCACTCTTTTTCAACTGTTAACTTTGGACCACTGGCATGACATATATAAAGATGTGACGCAAGTGGTAGATCCCATGTTTTCTGGCTTCTACATCATATTGTGGATTTGCATTGGATCCTTTATTTTCAGGAACATTTTTGTTGGCATTATGGGTAAATAGACAAAAGTGCTAGTTTCTCCCTGCCTTGATCTTGTCTAGCATTTACTTTTAATTTTAGAGTTACAGTTTTGTTCATCTGCGAGTTTAGAACTGGAAAAAAATCATGGAATCATTCTTTTTTCCTGTCTTCAAACATATGTCATTGATCTGATTTTGATTTAAAGAAAATTAATAGTTATTGAAATTGTTCTTAAAATTTTAGTGCAATATAACAAGTTTTTGCTATTACAATCTGATCTTTGTAGAAGATATTGCTGTAGCATAGTTCATGCAATGTTCAAGACTATTGCATTTCATAATTTATTTTTTATTTCAGTCAACAATTTCCAAAGTATAAGGAATGACTTGTTTAACGAAGTGCTAGAAATTGAAGAGCTAAAACAACAGAACGAGAAAATTGAAAAACTAAATGAAGAGTTGGAAAAACAAGACCAGTTATTAAAAGGGCAAAGGTTAGTATTAAATGATATTTAAAGGTTAGTATTTAATGGTAAGTCATACTGATAATGTAATAACAAACTGTTGGATGTTGAAATTGTCATTTTTGTATTTATGGTAATTTTTATTTATGGGGGCAGCTACAACAAAGCTTTCAGTTGCATTATTACATTATACAATTTTAAAAATGTTATTCATAATTAGCAAATTGGCCAGATTAAAGATAATTTGTAATTATGAGTTATAGAAAACATTTCTTTCAGAGATCAAGCACATGCTGTGATATCCCAATCAAAGTTGTCATCTACTGATGAAACTCAGACACCAGGGGACACCTTGAAGCCAAGGGATGAGTATGTATAGCTGGGATTCTGCTTATGTTGATGGTTTTACAGAAATTAAAAGCTGTATCACAGAGTTTATTTAGAATTAAAAGTCATCCACTTCCTTATCTATCCTGTACATTAAAAAGAGGCAGACTGAGAGTATTTTGCAATGTTAAATTTGAAAACCATTCACTTGGAATTTCTTTTTTCTTCTCAAGTGGAAAAACAAAAGATATGCAACTAGAATACAAGGAACTCAGCAATGCTCTCAGCAAGCAGTTTATAGCAGGTGACAGAAGTACAAAGAGTAAGGATATATTATATTATTCCAACAAATCATGTTAAGTTAAATGCATTATTCCTATATGATTAAGAACTATGAATTCAGGTAAATATAAAGAACTATTTTCTTGACTGTTTAAAGTTTGCCAGAAATAATTAGCCATGTAAAGGTTTAAATAATGCTTTTTATGTACAGACACAGATGTGTCTGTACATATAGCCGTCATCTGCGTCTGTCGTCGCCGTCGCTGTCGCTGGGGCCATCGCCGTCGCCTTCGCCGTTGGCGTGCACTTTAACCGTAAACACGATAAGTGAAAAACCATTTTACCTTTTGGCTTGAAAGTTACAGAACTGATGAATATTCATAATACGCAGGTCAAGTTCGAAAATCAGCATGATCGGGCTATTTGTAGGGAAGTTATGCTTTTTTTCAGTTTTTTCAGCATATATGCAACACCGTAAACACGATAAGTGGAAAAAAAGTTTTACCTTTTGGTTTGAAACTTACAGAACTGATGAATATTTATAATACGCAGGTCAAGTTCGAAAATCAGCATGATCGGGTCATTTTTAGGGAAGTTATGCTTTTTTTTCACTTTTTTCAGCATATATGCAACACCGTAAACACGATAAGTGGAAAACCTTTTTACCTTTTGGCTTGAAAATTACAGAACTGATGAATATTCATAATACGCAGGTCAAGTTCGAAAATCAGCATGATCGGGTCATTTTTAGGGAAGTTATGCTTTTTTTTCACTTTTTTCAGCATATATGCAACACCGTAAACACGATAAGTGGAAAACCTTTTTACCTTTTGGCTTGAAAATTACAGAACTGATGAATATTCATAATACGCAGGTCAAGTTCGAAAATCAGCATGATCGGGTCATTTTTAGGGAAGTTATGCTTTTTTTTCACTTTTTTCAGCATATATGCAACACCGTAAACACGATAAGTGGAAAACCTTTTTACCTTTTGGCTTGAAAATTACAGAACTGATGAATATTCATAATACGCAGGTCAAGTTCGAAAATCAGCATGATCGGGTCATTTTTAGGGAAGTTATGCTTTTTTTTCACTTTTTTCAGCATATATGCAACACCGTAAACACGATAAGTGGAAAACCTTTTTACCTTTTGGCTTGAAAATTACAGAACTGATGAATATTCATAATACGCAGGTCAAGTTCGAAAATCAGCATGATCGGGTCATTTTTAGGGAAGTTATGCTTTTTTTTCACTTTTTTCAGCATATATGCAACACCGTAAACACGATAAG